CCAGCAGGAACTCATTAGCATAATACGCCACACCCAACAGCAGAAACTTATTAGGATTGGCTACATTAGGGGTGTGTGGCCTAACATGCAAAGGAGTCCCTGCTACAAAAAAAGGCCCTGGGTTTTGACAACAAACAAGGTAAACAGAATAACAAGCAAAAGGTGGGTGTGGCTGGATGACCACACTTCTGGTAACATGTGGGTACAGCCTAATGTGCTAATGAGCTGTGCTGTCAGGGGTGTGGCCCAATATGCGAATGAGTTCCTGTTGTTGGGTGTGGCCTATTATGCTAATGAGTTCCTGCTCGGCTTTTCCTACAAAAAGAGCCCTGCTTAAAAGAGACATTCCCTTGGAGAGGAGGAGGAAGGCTTGTGGTTCTGTACCTGGGAAGGTCTAAAAGATCTAAAAGATGAGAGTGCAAACCAGTGCACCAGCATTGTGGGTTTGATCTTGTCTTGTTCTGTGGCAGGTAGCCTTAGTTAGGCGAGGAGAGAAAGGCTGCACAGCACATACAGCCATCGTTGTGGTATCTGACTGGGGCTTCTTCACACAGTGATGGTTTCTCATGTAGGTCTCATTGCTACTGTGAGTGCAGAGGCAGCTTTCTACACACTTTCCTTGACTCAGCTCCCCCTTCCCCCCCCCATGCCACTGGAGGGCTATTGGGGGGGCTCTTTTTAAAAATTAGTAGTTACTGTATTGCTATTGAAATTAGTTTTGTTTAAAGCTTAGGAAAGCTCTCTTGGTGACATGTAGCAGCTACAGGAGCTAAGACAGGGGAAAATGGAGCTAATTTTTAAAAAGCGCATACCTTTCCCTGCACGTGGTGTGCAAACATGCTCCAATTGTGATTGTTCCAGAAATATTGCATCAAATCCAGGTTTTGGGAAGATGGGAGCAAAGTAGGGAAAAACCTGGAAAGTGGATGATTATAGGCTGACATTGTCAGATTTGAGTCTAGTAGCACCTGAGGGCCCAGCGAGGTTTTGGGGGTATGAGCTTTGCAGGTGCTACGGGACTCAGCTATAACTGAGCTGTTCTATGGTAGACCAACACAGCTAACCTCTGAAACCTCATCACACTAATGGATTTGATTAATGTTACTATGAGATACGACTAGAGTGTTTGCCAAATGGATTAAAATTATATCGGAATTTCAACGCTACCCACTTTGATAACGTTTATACATGAAACGAGATGTTATATGCATGGTCCGTTGTGGTGTTGATGGTGTTTGAATTGCTCCTAGTAAATTGAATATTGGAAAAAGAGCTTATACGTCTGTGAAGGACTTTTTTCTGCCATAATACATCCCGGTTGTTTTGCTTCCTTTCAACTTCCATCCCGTGATCTCTCTCTTTGGTTTGCAACCTCTGAAACCAGGCTGACATTGTGTGGATGCACATTCAGAATAAATAAATAAAGTGTTCCAGTTTGGATGTCAAATCGGAGCAGAACCTCTGTGCATGAGCAGCCTGCACCACAGGGGCTTGACAGCCATGTTGTGTACGTCAAGTGTCATCAAGTCACTTCCGATTTATGGCGACTGTATGAATGAACAGAGGTCATTTCGGGGGGGATCGCAGTTCCCCCGGGTGAGGTACGGGGGGCGGGGCACATGACGAAGCCCCGCCCCCTGCTTCCGGCCGCCCCGCTTCCGGCCCTCATTCAGCCAGGAGGAGGCAGGAGAAGAGGGAGGGTAAGTTGCTTCCTCCTTGCCTCTCCCCACCCCTGCCTGCTTGGAGCCAGGGAGGGCCTTCGCGGGGCTTCCTTGCACTCCCGCCGGCCTTGCAGGTCCACCACCGGGCCCCTCATGGGGCTCAGCAGTGGAGCTGCAAGGCCGGCGGCGGCGGCCGGGACCGTTGGGGGTGGGGTGTGTGGCCTTAGGACACACTTCTGGTGATGTCAGGGGGTGTGGCCTTATGGCACACTTCCGGTGATGTCATGGGGTGTGGCATATGCTAATGCGTTATGCTAATGAGTTCCCCTAGCTCTTTTTCTACGAAACAACCCCTTCAAAGTGTCCTATCATTGACAGCCTTGCTCCGGTCTTGCCAACAGAGGGCCATGGCTCCCTTGACTGAGTCCATCCATCTTATCTTGGGTCTTCCTCTTTTCCTGCTACCTTCAACTTTTCCTAGCATTGTTGTCTTTTCCAGTGAGTCCTGTTAATGCATGTTTGAGGGTATAGTTAAATTACTAGGTCACTTTTCCACCATATGCCTTAAAGCAGTTTACACATCATAAAAACAATAATTAAAAACACAAGTAAAACTAGACTCCCAAATTTAAAACTAGACTAGCAGCTGGGTAAAATAATAAAACTCAGGAGATCTCAGGGGGCCTGGGAGAATGGAGGTTTTGGCAGCTGCCTAAAAGGTCTAACATATGCATATAGGGTAGGTACTAGACCAGTGATGGCGAACCTTTTAGAGACCGAGTGCCAAAACTGCGATCCAAAACCCACTTATTTATCGCAAAGTGCCAACACGGCCATTTAACCTGAGGTTTTACTTTAGAAAAAACAACTCATACATTAACTTAAGATGATCCAAACAAAGTAAGGAAAGCAATCCCAAATGCTTTCATTTACTTAAAATTATTTGGCAGAGAATTTGACACCTTAGTGAGGGTCTGGGCCTGGCTGGACACGCGTGCCCACAGAGAGGGCTCTGAGTGCCACCTCTGGCACCCGTGCCATAGGTTCGCCACCACTGTACTAGACGGTTCATTGTAAACAAATAGCCATAATGGTGAAACCAATTGTGAGCTCATAAACCCAACTAGAATTAACAGGATTTACAAGCTGTTAAGCGAACACATGAACACACAAAGCTGCCTTTTATTGAACCAGACCCTTGGTCCATCAAAGTCAGTATATTGCCTACTCAAACTGGCAGCATCTTTCCTCGATCTCAGATCTTTCACATCACCTACTGCCAGATACTTTAACTGGAGATGCCGAGGACTGAACTGGGACCTTCTGATTCTGAATGCCGGGCAAAGGCTCTATCCGATGAGCCATGGCCCCTCTCAAAGTGATTTGAAGTTTGTGGCTATAATTATCTAGAAATTTTGCTCCAAAGATCTATGCTTGCAGAATGTTGCACCAGGCCGGCCTTGATTTTGATACTTGAGTTTCTCTGTCCTTTCCGCATAACTTCCCAATGTAGGCTGGTTTTGAAATGTAGCCACGCTAGCTACACTCAGCCTAACCTCAGTGGGCCGCTTCATAAATGTAACAAATTGAAACATGCCCTTTCTAAGATAATGTGCACAATATATCTTTCTTTGTATATATGGGATTGATTTGGACTGTGGATAATTCCCAATAAGAGTAGTTGGTTATAATAATGGAGGGAATTTCCTTTAAATTAAAGGACAGATGGGTGTTCTCTTCATAGATGCCTGTCTACCAAATGCCACAGCCTTGGTTCCTTTTAAGAGTTATCTCTCACATATAAAAGAGCACAGTATAATTTATTACGGTTGAATATTATTGCCCACCTTTTGGGCAAATGACAATAGTATTACGGGATACTCAATTTGTTTATCTAAAACATCTGTACCCTGGATGCCGCCGAATTGGCTCCCAGGGTGGTTATTGGGATGTCACAACAGGTTTACAGTGATGGGATATGCACATGTGTAACTGTAGTTAAGATAGCTTTATAGAATGCAGACATTATATGTTGTTATTTTTTAATTGGTGATCTGGATATCTGAGAAAGAGCAGTTATAATACGGCATTTTTATATCATGCTAGTAGTATTATGAGATGTGCCATGTGTGCATATATTCCCAGCAATTGATGGTGAAATGTTTATATGATGCTTTAAAACATTGGTGTGTGTGTTTTTAAGGAATCCTAGGTATAAAGAAAGTGGAACTGAGTATGCCTTAGAAGAACCATTTATGTGTGTGACCATCACCAAAGTGATTCTTTGTGTGTCCTGGTTTCTCATGGGGATGCCTCTGATCAAAGGATGTGGGGATGCCATGGCATGCCATACTCCCGTGTTGTCTGTGTGCATGTGCACAGGGCTATGTGCACGTGCAGAGTGGGCGATGTCTGTCCTAGAGGCCTATAAAGGTCTGACTTTCCCAATGTCTGTATTGGATTGCATGAAAAGATTATGGGATGCACAGAGTCTGCATCCTCCAAAGGAAGGAATAAAGACTCCTGGCAAGCTGTGCCAGAGTATTATGGGATGTGCCCATTGGCCTTATGCCCCCCAGTGGTTATTATGGTCTGTGTATGGATAGGGGGGCGGGGTAGGATTATCCTATGCCCAATGGGTGTTTCTTTGGGGGAGACGTTGGTCCAGAGGGGCTTATTTGGGTCTTGTGAACTGTTCAGCAAAGGTCCTCTTTCCAGGCAGGCTTGGCTGGCCGAAGAACAGTGTGCCAGGGATTATTATGGGCTGTGTGACCAGGGGGAGGGCAGGCGGGGGGGGGGGGGGGGAGAAAGATGCCTGGTAGGCAGCGGCTAAAAGAGTTGCTGGTAGTATTATGGGATGTTTCGCTGGCCAGGGGGACTATTATGGGATGCCTCACTGAGGGGGGGAGAGGTGGAAAGGGTCATATTATGGGATGTCTCGAGTGTGACTATTATGGGATACCATGTCTGGGGGGGCCTCTTATGGAATATTTCAGAGAGATTGGGAAGGGAGGAGCGCCTGTTATGGGATGCCAGACTTGGCAACCGAGAGAAAAGAGTATGTGTGTGGTTATTATGGGATGTCTCAGTGAGTGATGGGGGGCTGGCTGGGAGAGGGGAGGAAGGGGGGGGACTAAGGTGACGACTATTATGGGATGCTCAGGGCAGTGAGACCGGTGCCTGTGGGAGGACGAGGGCGGGGGGAAGGAGAGAATGCGATTATTATGGGATGCCTGGAGTGTGTGGGGGGGGTAAGGGTGACTATTGTGGTATGTATGAGTAAGGGCGGGTTATTATGGGATATTTCCGCGAGGGAGGGGGGGGAGAAAGAGAAGAGAGCAAGAGGGAAGAAAGAGAATGTATTACTGGACGGTCACTAGTGGGGATTATTATGGGATGTTTGGGAAGGTGATTATTATGGGATGCGGGACTCCGGGCTGCGAGTTCTGTGGCGGCGGCGGGTGGTGTGTGTGTGGGGGGAGGGGGGAAGGGTGCCGAGAGGAGTATTATGGGATGCCTCAGTGGAAGGTGGCGCGGTGGGGGGAGTTTGCTGAGGTGACGGGGGTGGGACCGGTCGCCATGGCGCCGGGCGTATTATGGGATGGAGGCGGGAGTGTGTGTGTGTGTCTGGGTGTGTGTGGGGGGGGTAAAAGGGGGAGGGGCCTGGCCGGGGCTTTTTTTTTTTTCCCTTTTAAGGGGGGGCGCCGGAGCGGG